ATAATAAAATAAATAATATAGAAAAGAAGAGTACAATTACAAGTTGATAACCGTTTTCTAATATTGCAAGCAATTAGTAGATATATTTAAATTTCTTTGTTGTTCTTTTATAATTTAATACAGTATACGGCGCCACCTTTTAATTGAAGGCACATACAGCATTTAAAACAAAGTGATTGAACAGATTTTTATTCCAGTTTTTCCAATATTTTTCCACTCTTTTTCCAATTTTATTCCAATTTCTTTCGGCTTTAAATTGCATTTTTCTGAAGAGCAAATTCACGTATAGGTGGCAGTCTTTCGTTCGTCTTGTCATGTCTCAATACTTCAAATAATATCCTGTTAGCGTTAATTTCAAGTTCATGTGCGATGATAACGTTTGCTTTACTTTTGCACGAAAGTCGATCTATATTTAAAAAACTTACATTTGCAAGGATTGAGGCAAACGGCTGGTATTTTCCGTATAATGGGCGCATAATTCGCGATCGTAGATGAAGCTCGTTTCGATCAGACAAATGATAGGAAAAAAGAGAGAAGAGAAACGATTTCCACTGCGATTTGATAAAGATATGGGAAATACCACTGTATACAAGTGTTTCGACGATTTTCACTTATCTCTAACTAAGATAACAGTTTACCATTTAGTATTATTTAGATATACGTTGTATACAGACGGTACTCACGAAGCGCTCAAAATTGGATTTCCGGCCTTCATAACTTTTTTTGCTTAATTTGAAGAATTCTACCGAACCCTACCGAAGGCCACCAAACACGTTCAGATGCTTATGGTGATGCTACTCCATCATATCCCAATTGCCAGTATTGGTTTCAACTGTTTTAAAAGTGATCATTCTCATGTCAATAACAAAGAACGGCCTGGCCTGGAGGAACAAAACAAGTTCGAAGACAATGAAATAATTGCATGACTTATTGGAGAAAAACCCAATTCAGACTCTCGAAAAACTTTTCAAAAGCTTAGCAGTTGATGAATCAACGGTTTCTAAACGTTTACATGCAATGGGAAAGATTCAAAAGGAGCGAAAATGGCCACCATGCGCATTGACTGAAAATGCCATTGTGAACGGCTTCAATATTCCGGTTTCATGGCTAGCAAGAGAAAAAAGAAGAGTTTTCTGCGGCGTATTGTGACTGGCGAAGTAGGAATCTACCATGACAATCCCAAGTGCAAAAAGTGATAAGTTAGTTAATATAGGAGAGCCATTGACATCGATTCCCAAGCGAGATTTTCATGGCAGTCAGGGGTTTTGCTCAACATATGATGGCATTAGTAAGGTGTATTGTGACGAGCTGCTAAAACCGATTGAAACTGAAGGTGCAGATGTCCACCGACGTCAATTGAACACACTGAAGACCAGCAATAGCGGCTGGCGATGATTGCTTTGTTGCCAAACCAATATTATTCTTTCCACACGCTATTGCCATGTTACCAAAGAGGTGTTGTCGACAATTATGGAAAATATTTTGATTAATATACATTGTACTTAATTTTTGTCAATAAATGCTTTTTTCAAATGAAAAAATTCTCAAGCATGTAATAATGATTGAAAGTTTCAATGGTAAGATAACGCCTTGGATGGATATCAAGCGAATTGAAATCTTTACCTAGTTTAACGGTTAACTAATCGCAGAAGTATTTTATTGTCGTTTTTGAAAGGACATCGAGTTCTTAGTCATTTCTGGGACTGTGCTCAAATCTTTGTTTGTTAAATATAATTTGCATACACCCGTTCCATCATATATATGAATATTACTTTAAATGGACTCAGTCATAACGCTGAAAAAGAACAATTCTAAATCGAATCAATAAATTGTTTATTCTGCTACAATACGTTTATAATCAAATTTTATTAGTGTTTTTTACTATTTTTCACGGACTATCGCAGCATTTCTCCTCCGGCATAAAATTTCATATTGGGTGAGGGGTACATTCATTTTGTCAAAACGTTTGCAACGCCGAGAAGGAAGCATCAAACACCCCACAAAGTATATATATTCTGGGTGAGCATGAAATTCGAAATCGACTTAAGCGTGTCTGTCCGTGTTAAGTCTGTTGTAAATATTCTCCTGGTCGCAAAAATGAAGCAATCGACTACAAATTTGGCAGAAACATTGGAAGGTCTTGTACCCAAGTTGGTATTGAAAATGGGCCAAATCGGTCGAGGGGCACGCCCATAGCATTACGTAAGATGAGAACAATTCTGTTTTTCAAAAGGAATGAAAAATTGGTCTTTTGCTCAGTAAACTCTAGCTGATAAATGTGCAAAAATTTGGAATGCATATTCTATGGGCGATGCTGCAGTGCATGTAGAAAGATGGAAAAAATTGGCCACGCCTACTCAATATAATAGAATATCAAAATTTTTTTTTTCAAACCTTTATAATGCGCTAAAAATAGTTCTAAAAATCCCCTTAAGTATATAAATTCCTGGCGAATCTCAAATCTGGAATGCATCCAAACATATCCGTGTGCCTAACTCTCCGCCTGCCCAACGGTGTAGTCGCTGTGGTAAATATTCTCCCGTTAGCGAAAATGAGTATATCGGAAGTAGCTTAAATATTAAAAAGGACACGCCTACAACGCCCACGAACCAATGTGGCAAAAACTTTTATTCTGAATATAGAAAAAATCGATGCAGTCTCCTCTTCAAATAATAGAGTAAGAAAATGTTGTTCTTTTACTTCTTTTGTCTTCTTCAGCATAACGGTGATGGGTATAAAAGATTCGGCCACGACAGAATGTAGTTAGTTTCTTTGCTTGTTTTTGACTATTTTTGATAGCAGAAACGAAGCCCGCAAGTCCGGCCTCTTTTTCTGAGAAAACAGTCCTTATAATAATACACTCTCTTGGAAGTAACCCGAATTTCAAGGCCCAAAAGGCCAAGGACTAAAAGCTTTATTGTAAATTATATTACAGGTGAAGTGTTTGATGAAGTGGCGAATGCAACGATAGCCTGAAACTTGGAGCAACTTTGGTAGCACTCTCCTACTACTTTACCTACCATTTTTGAGGTAATTTAAAGAAAGCGAACTTGTTTGGGCAGAAATTTTAATAAGGCATTTAAACCGAAAGAACCGAGGATCTTTTTCATAAAAACCTTGGTGAGTAGTGGTGGACTGAAGAGAACATGTCGTGCAATTTCTTTGATTCAATGAAAGTTGTTACGACTGCGTAAGTCTCACATCACGAATTTCTGCGCAATCATCATCTCATCGATCTATCTACTCCTTTAAGTGAATTATCAACAACTATAAATAGAATATTTTTTCGTGGTTGAGTGTATAATTGCAACTGCTTTACCCGAAAATGTGTATATGTTTGTAGCCAGTAATCCATCATATGCGCATTGTTCTCAAAATTTGACTTTTGCATTGTTTTATGGACACAAGAACCTAAAAGGTTGAATTTATGAACGCTATTATGCGGAAGGAACTCCTTAATCCGATAGCGCCGGCCATAAAATGTGAAAGAATGTAAACAGACTAAAACTCAAATAGAACAATGATTTAGAAGATAATACGCGTTGCGTTTTTCATTGCACTAACCATGCGAAAGAGCGATGCGATGCGCACAACAATGGCACGGTTTTTCTTCCGTTCGTTTTTCCTTCACCTTTTTCGATAGTTTTACGTGACCTCAAGGATTACTTATAGCCGTAGTAAAGAGAAATTGAAATTGATCGGCGCCTTTAGGCCCTTGAAAATGTAACAAACACGACACAGAGAATAATTTACGCGTAGGTAAGTTATTATAGCCGACATTATTCCCTTTTCAAAGCATTTTTTACATAGGACTTAAAGAGGAAAATAGAAAAAACTTGGTTTAATCCGAATATTTTGATCACTAGGATTAGCTGATTATTACCTTACCTTACACTTTAATAGAAATTCATAAACTCATATGTAAAGTGGAGTTTGCTTACAAAAATCCAGAGGCAGATGGAAAAGATTTGAAAATATTTTCCATAATATTTTTGAGTATTCTTTACTTCCAAGCTTACCTTCACATCTATAAGCTGATCAGGTAAATGCTCGGACAGACATGTCTTTAAAATGCATGTTATATAAATAATGCTAGGAATACTCGCCCACTATTCTTGGATATTACGACATCTGTGACAAACTGAACATGCCTTGAGTTTCGATAAATTCAAGTAGCGGCAAGAAAACCCAAATAAAATATCATTTTTTGCAGCTTAACTATTGCCATTTATATGTATGTAAACGAGTACATATTTCAAGCATACGCGAATACAGCCGCTGTAGATATTTAGCAGGAGTTTCCCAAAAGTATTCAGCGTTAGGCAAAAGAATAGAAGTCGGGGAGTACAGAAAATATGGTGGAATTTTGGTGGAAACAACATTAGTACGATAATAATTTCCGTATATAAATGACTAGATAACCTTGAAATTTGTTATTCTAACATCAGGTGTCTAAGATCAAAAGTTCTATACCAACATCTGATTTTGTGAAGTGAATTTATCAAAGTGTGTCCGTCGGTCTTTACTTCCTCTACTCCATTTGGCAACTACTCTCTATGTAAAAATGTCAGTGTCTTCAGCTTGAAACAGTTACGCACATTAATTGGGTTGGCAAGAAACAAATATCGTTCTTTTCTACTTTTTCTATCGAAATATCATCCTTGCCAACCTAATATTTTTAAATGTATTTAAGGAGATTTGTCATACATTGTCATAAACATAAAACATTACCTGCACTTTTTACCGAATACAATCGATATGTAAAACGTCGCCAATATTGAAAACATTGAAAGCAAGTAATACCGCGTCTATACGTCACCAAAAAGGATTTATTGCAGCGAACACGACTTTACTGAACACGAAATTCCTGATTAGTAGACAAACACCACACTATCTGCACAAGACAAGTACAAGTATTTTATGCTATGGGTTTATGAAAATCTTAGTTTAATGTTGAATACAAGGTTTAGTTGATATTTAGCATTCGAAGAGCTAGGACCATGTCCTCTGTAGTTCATTACTACTCTGATGAAAACCAGCAAGTACCTACCAACAGTAGTACGGTGTACCAAAAACCGCTAGTGGATTATAATAATGTGAGCAAGCGGATCATATAAAAGACATTTAATGTATTTTTATAATTAATTTTCTTCTTTTTATAGAGTTGTTCCACAAATGCCACAAACGTTGACTTTGGACTTACGAGTAACGGAAATTTTCATCCATTGACTGTATTAAATAAAAGCTTTGAATTTCAAGTGAATGTTACGGATGATTCATCGCAACGATCGGAATCGATTAGTAGCAAAATTAAGCGCACGCGCACCGCCTTCACCAATTTTCAATTGATACAACTGGAAAACGAATTTCAAATTAAGCAATATTTACATCGTACACGACGCATAACAATAGCCAGAAGGCTTGGCCTATGCGAGCGTCAAGTGAAAGTTTGGTTCCAGAATAGACGCATGAAAGAGAAGCGAGATAGGATGGGTTTAGAGAAACTTAAAAGTAAAAGCAAATCATCTATGGAATTCGTAGGCGAAGCAAATGGACATAAGGACATTGTTCAACGATTAATGTCCTACACTAATGTGCAAAACACATCTACTTTCTACAATAATAGCGCAAGTAATATAGAAATCAATTTTCAAAAGGCAAAGGACGCTCATCAAACGCAATACACATATCCTGTTAATTTAAATGAGATTTTAAACGACTTGACTCACAAAAATGCACCTTCACAATGTGAAACGTCTGCATCAACATCGAACTCATCGTCATCGTCTTCGGCTTTATTAACTTATGAATCAGAACTTTTGGATGACATCTTGGACAGCATTAAAAGGAATGAACCCCAGGGTTGGATAGCCACAGCAATTGACGATAGTCGATTAAATAACAATCCCAGCCAAATTTCGCAGGGAAATACTAATACTACTAACACACCGTACTTGCCAGTCTTATTATATGGCACTCATCAAGCTGAAAATAAAGCAGGAAGCCTTTAAAATACAAACCTGATACTCTGCCGAATGGAAAAACTAATGATGATACGAGCTGATCAAATAATTCGCTAATAGAAATAAACATTAAGTCTAATAATAGAGATCGCATTCATTAACTGCATAATTCTCGGAAAATATATTCCAACCGTCTTTGTCAAGTGTTTGGAGAACTGTAGGAAATAGATCCCGGATATCGAAAATATTCTAAGTAAAGATCGAATTCATTTTGTTTGGGTAACAAAGTCAATAAATAAAATGAAGGAGTGTTTTTTATTTGAATTGTACACTCGGTCTATCTAAAAATAAACGCTTTAAACGTTGCGTAACTGCCTTAGTTTTTTTCGTAGTTCATGAGTAACAAGCGAAATACTTATTTTTTTGCCATTGAGAGTATAGAGGTTTTCCCATCAGTGTTTTTGGACCCATTTGTACGATCAATCTGCGTACAAGTATTTCTCTTCCTTATGCCATATTTGACGGCGATTTTTCAATTTTTGCGAGCAGAAGAATCGTTGCCTTAGATATTACACAGGTAGATAGATGATAGATAATCAGTCGGACATGCTTCAATCAGTTCATAACTTGATGCTAATCAAGAGCATGTATGTTTTATACAATTTTATGAAGCTACCTTCTGGGTTTTGGAAGCATGTATGCCCTAGCAGTGTGGGAAAGTAAACCAAACTTTTATTTTATGTTTGGGCAATGGATAAGGTTTCATAAGCGCTTATTTTTTCGCACGAAACAACCCAATAGTACTGAGACTAATAGTGTGTAACTTGTGTTAAATGGCTGTTCCACAGTAATACGACGATGAAGTTCTTAAAAAGATCCAATGATATGCTCTTTGGAAACACTGCGAAAGGAAGATGCTGCAAGAACAAGTTATCGTGATTTGCATGCTTAGGAAAGAACGCATTTAGTAGAGTGCAAGGTAAAGTTAGAGTAATCAAAGAATGAATAGCTTTCGAGCAAGAATCTTCTTATACAATAACAAAAATTTTAAATTAATTAAAACTCAATTTCTATCGAAGCCCTTTATGCATCGATTCCATGGGAAGTCGTTTTTGTACGTTCGATTTGCGGCGCTCACTGGCAAGTCTCATCCGAAAATTACCAAATAGTCCTTCATCTCATTCCATTCGGTGCCATGGTCTCAAGCTCTTTGAAAATCGTTAGCCCGCCTCATCAACTCTCTCCGTCGATTACTCGTCACTCAGCAACTTTGGCACACGTTTTGCTTATTTTTGGCCTTAATACTTGCGAACTTCCGCGTAATTGTGAAGACGAGGTAAATGCAGCTGTTGGGGAAAACCGTTATTGCGTTTTAAAGGTTTTCCCATTGTGCGCGTTACACACGCACTTGTCATTCAATCTACATAACAACACAGATGCTATAGAGATAGTTAACCCAAAGATCGTTAGATAGTAAATTAAAAATTTGTTGAGAAAATCCCGACAAAATATAGCGTTAAAGCAGGGATTTTAAATATCCCTTAAATTTTAGTGATGAGCAATAAAATTTCCTTAAGTTTAAGATCTGTCGCGGAAAAACCTCACATTTATTTGTCTGCCGCGGAAAAACCTTAAATTTATCGCAGTGAAAAGGCAGATTCTAGAGTTCACCTTAGGTAAAAAATACAATGTAAACGAATAAAATATTTTGGCAACATATTCAGTACAAAATTTCGCTCTGTAAGACAAGAGTATGAGCTAACAGTGAATACTAGAGAATAATATCTTAAGATCTGTTTGAAACCTTTCTTGCAGGCAAACACTAGCAAGCTTTATCTCTAATAACATATGTATTACCTGTTCTCATAACAAAAGATCGGTGTGGGCCTAAATTAATTTTAGATCTTTGTACAGTTTCTATAGCTTGCGAGCAAAGTTGCATGGACTGCGTACTTTAAACACTAATGATTTTCGTTAAACCATATTGAACCGTAGCCCCATGCCGCGCTTTTTTTTTTTACTCGCAATTTTAGAATTTCAATAAAATATTTGATCAATTTATCGATTCATTAATGCAAATCCCGATCTGCAGATTTACGCTACCTAGGTAAGCTAACTGGATTTGCTTTTTTGCCTACTTCTCCATACCGTCTTTTGTTAAGTGCTATAGCGGACGTGAAAACTGGCTAGAGATCGTCATAGTTTGAAAGGGATATCATCTCAGTTATGGGAAGTTTGACAGACACTTCACTTCTCAAAGATTTCGCTATTTTGATAGTAGATCCAAAAACTCTTATAATGCGAAGGATGTTTTAAAATAAATATTCCTCAGGATGCAGGACGATATAAAAATCGGTACTATCTGCCGACTCGTAGCACACCGTAACTGCAAAATGTTTAATATATCGAATAGAATAAATAAAAATTAGGAGCTCACTCGCCATTGTTGCACATTAAAAAGAAAATTATCGAGAAGACAAATGCATTATATGGATGATTTTATATAAGATATCGGAAGAGAAAGGTTTGAGATTATTTCTGTAGAGATATGCCAACATTCTCTTTATATAGATAGGGGCCTTTCAATACACTCATATTTCGGGGCACGCCGTTTAGGCTGATATACCCATCGCAATGGCACGCAAATATTAAATTTGGAAAATTTCAAACCAATATTCGGTTTTCAATGGAAGGAGTCATGTAATCACACGTTGCATGCCGGAATATCTTTCTTTAATAATAGGAAAAAACAAATGAACGATCGAGTTCGACAACAAATTATTCGTAGATATGCTTGCCTACCTACGCTATACACACTGCTTCGGTAAAATGTGTTCGAGTTCGTAGCAAACAATAATAAAAAAAAGTCTTGCTTTAATACCCGTTCTTCATGGTTCGAAAATTTGAAATTAAAACGGATCGCATTGATTGAATTAGCGATGCCACTGTTAATTTAGCAGAGGTAGTGCTGTTACATTGGCAGCTATTTGATTGCTTGCAAGAATTATGTTAAATGTTCCTTGATACGACGTCACCTCATAACAAGAGCATACACAGTTTCGTGTGCATTTATGCTATAGTTAACATACCTTCCGAGCCAAGGATATTGAATTTTTATGCACTAAGCTAAAGTTCAGTAAGTTGTGTCAATGTTCACAGAAATCATCGTCCGTAGCAAACGAATCTTTTGCTTAGCTCCATAATTCTATCAAAGATAAGTTTCTTAATGCTTACGTCATATTTATTTTTATTGTAATCTGCTTTATGCCATCTAGTGAAAGTGCATTCAAAACTTTGCCTCTAGGGTTTTGTAAATATCTGTCCGTCTGTCCAATTGTGCAGTAACTATGGCACGCATTCTCCCATTGGCAAAAAAGAAGATATCGCTTAGAAATTCGCCAAAAAGATCAAAGATCGTCTAAGTAGGTCACGCAATACACCCAGAACTGAGAAAACCTTTGTTTTCCCTGTCTTTTGTCGTTGCTCTCATAAGCTACACCTGATACACGATATAAATTTTCGCAAAATTATTTTACAAGAAAAGAAAAAACAACCATGCCCATCCAATGGTGTAGCACATGCAAATTCATATTTTTCTGTCTTTTCAATCTTTTATAGGATGACGGTGGTGGGTATAAAAAATTCCATCGTAACTGAATATAACTTTCTTCCTTGTTACTTTATGTACGTTTATTATGTATTAGGGGCTACCAACAAGCTGTTGTAAAAAATGGATGACGTTCCATGGAAGGGATTGAACTTCCTCTAGTTTGGAATTATATATGGTACGCGGCACGATAGTAATTCGACTCAAGCCGTAAATAGCTCCCGTCTCGTTTTAGTTTCTTGTCTCTTAGCGGAGCCTCTTAACCGCTCCCACTTTCTTCGTATAATTTTTTTCAATATTTTCGATTGTGATTTCGAAATCGCAAAGCTACAAGATTAAGTCGTGTTTAAATGTCTGCTAAAGCAATTACACCTTCAAAATTACCTAATGCTTGGAAAAATTTGACATATGTAGATCATCTAAATGTAATGCGACAGTCCTTATTACATGTATAGTATGATGATAGTATACAAATAGATACATTTACAAATGTTTATATGACGATATACATATGTGTGTATGTGGATATTCAGCAATAACTAGACTTGTAAGGAATGCCATTAGGTGACATTTGTTAGCAATATTTCATTTGCAAAAAAGAAAAAGGGACTTACGGATATTAGTTTAGGAGAAAAACGAACAAAAACACAGAAATATTCACAGGTTTAAAGAAATTTAAATTTGCAACTCTTACGAATTTAGATTAAGCATACATTCAATGCTTTAAAAAAGGGACGAAGAATTATGGGAAATATGTTTTATTCCGAAGCGGAATGTTTGAATAACAAGACGCTCTTCTAAAGGAATGAAACTTAGTAATAACAAAAAAAAAAAAAAAAAAAAAAAAAGAAATGGAAATGTATATATGAAGATGTTCAAGATGCGTGTATGTGTGCGTGTGTGTGCGAAATTCGTTTACTTAATTAATGAACATATTAATGGGTTTTGCACTCAAAGAGTTTTTTGCAACTCTCCATATTGCCTGAATTGGTTTGTATGATGGCGAATACGCGTCTTTCCAGCGGGTTTCAAAGGGAGTGATCGCATGTACTTATAGGTATTATAATAATAACCAATGGCTTGATCGACACGTTTATGCGAAGAGTAGATAGACCAGACAAGTCCTTATCACGCAAGGACAAACTTAAGAACATTCCCGGGCTTAGAAGGACTGATAGCAAGGATGTAAATATCGGCTTAGGTTACTCTGTGAATTTTTCTCGCATTCGCCTCTTGAGCCTTTTGCTGAATTCGGGTTGGTTCATGACCAATGATCGCGTCGACAGCTAAGGGAGAGGTCACCTGCAGGTAAACAAACTTGTCATAGTTTTTAGTGAAGACGATACAATATTTGTTCTAAAATCATGTCGTATGATGCTTGTCTTCATATCCTTTTACAAAGAGGAAGGCGTTCCCAAAGAGGATTCCAGCTATTATTCGA